CTACCCTCTGGGACCCTATGTGATGCTGCAGTACACGGCGTGTACGGACGAAGATCTGCCAGATGAGTACATGGTTAACCCGGACGATTGGACGTGCTCGTGCGCTTTTAGCGTTACTCGATTACTACCGTGCCGCCATATCATCTACTACCGCAAAGCGACTGGCTGTAAGGACTTAGTTCCTGAAAGTATTCTGCACCCGCGTTGGTTGATCAAGAATTACCGCAAATTAAAGCAACCATCCGTTGATTGCGACGTTGCTGAGCCGTACGAGGAACGCAAGGTCCCGGCAGTGTCTAGTACCCGTGCGAAAACTCAAAATGAAAAATTCAAGGAGCTACTAGCTGTGGGGAAACAAATAGCTGAAGTCGGCTGTGACTGGGGGACCAAAGCGCACGCTGACCTGATGAAATCGAATAGCTGAAGTCGGCTGTGACTGGGGGACCAAAGCGCACGCTGACCTGATGAAATCGAATAGCTGAAGTCGGCTGTGACTGGGGGACCAAAGCGCACGCTGACCTGATGAAATCGAATAGCTGAAGTCGGCTGTGACTGGGGGACCAAAGCGCACGCTGACCTGATGAAATCGAATAGCTGAAGTCGGCTGTGACTGGGGGACCAAAGCGCACGCTGACCTGATGAAATCGCACCAAAAGTTCCTGGAAGATGTTACGGCTGGCCGATGTCCTGAAGTAACTATCACCGGTGAGAACACTTTGGTCGTGCGAGAATGGGGAGAAGTCCGCGACGAGCTCAATGAAACCGGTTCTGGAGCTGAGACTGGTGCACTACCTGGAGTTTGTTCACAATCTGGATTTGGTGCACAATTTCAGACGGTTCGGGATAAAACCAATGCCGACACGTGCGATATGATCGATGGATTAGCGGAGGAAGGTCATATGCAGCTATCGCCTAATGGTAGAGCCCTTTACTCTCTTATTGATGAACTGGACCCATCTAGTTTGCCTCCAGCTCACGTGGAAAACGCACCAGAAGACGTGGAAAACGGCGTACACTCCGAGAGTGTGTCCAAGTCTCAAAGTGTAGCAGCGCCCAAACTGCGCAAGGAAGTGCTCAAAACAATTTCGAAATAGCCAACGGGCACAATTTACCAGTCAAGAGCGCTAGTGACAACCAGCCCCCGCCAGTACGACCACAGTGGACAATTCCCAAAACGACCAAGAGGACTGGAAGACCCAAAACAGCCCAAGATTAACGCAAAAAAGCCACTAGGGAAGCTTTGCGCCAGACTTCACGCCTTGTCAGTGCAGTTGCTGCTGGAAATACGCCCTCACTTGCTGTACTAGAGCGTACAATTGCGACTGGCGCTACCTACAAAGCTGCTGTTGCTCTCCGTGCGTTATCGATCATCCAGCAATCCAAACGGTATGCGAGCTGAAAACAAAGCCACCAACGCCCACCGACAAAATTATGGCTGTATTGCCGCTGAAGCGATTGGATACATGTGACTCGCAGATCGCTCATTTTCAGAATTGTTGGTGTAGCGACCATGAATCACGGATCTCTCAGGGTGAAATTACGGTCATGACCGGAAGGACAGTGTATAGCGTCGCAACCTTGAAAGCCATGCGTTCGTGGCACACACTAATTGATCATTTCGATGGAATTGATGCTGCAATCAAATGGGTGGAACAGTACCGTACGATGGAATGGAAACCCGTTGAGTCGGAGTGGAGCAAAGGTCTCGCTGATCCCGAAACTTTAATTGAGCATCTGAAGGAAATAAATGTACTTGGCAACTACTACTGGTCAACAACATTATGCGGACGGACTCAAGTGGAAGGATTATGTATGGATCTTGCTGTGCAAATGATTATTAAGCGTTGGAAAACCAAAGCTACAATTTTCACGATTCCGTCAGATGTCCTCCGGTTTCCTTCGTTTGATTCTCAATGGATTAAAAGCTATCCCGTATGGGAGCAGCTGAAAACGGCAGCATCGACGATGAAGTTGGAGACGGAGAAGTTTTTCTTTTTTTGGTGTAATCATTTACGACCTGAATCACTGGTGTGCAGTATCTGTGAATCTCAGCAGGGGGGACGTCAGAGTATATGACCCTCAGCAGACTGGTGATAGATTCAAGTTTCTTCAGACATTCCTGACTGCTCAAGTTCTGCCGCTATTACCACAAATGAAGTCGCCGAAGCGTTTTCGGTTTCAACAAATCGAATGGATCCCGCAGCTCGACAACTACAACTGCGGGATCTTCGTACTCTTGTTTTTTTGAAATCTGTCTACATGGTGTGAAGCCCCTTGGTTTGGATGGCAACATTAAGTCTGCGATGCAACACTTTCGCTACAGATACCTTAGCCACATTCTAACATCAATGTAAGACAGTTTTGTTCCCTTTTGAAGTAGACTATCTGCGGTAACTGCAATAGGGATATAACTCTGAGCTGGTTTGGAAGCGAAATTTCAACGTTTGTTGCTCGTGGGTTGCAAATTATTGTGCTACTTAGCAAGACTTAGACCTCATTCTTGCTGGACTCTGGGGGTTACAGTTGTTTGTCGAGTGAAATGCATTGCCAAGAAGATCGCAAGTAGTGACAATCACTCCTGTTTTAGACCAGTCTCTACGCGAAAGTTGCCTCGATTCTGCGACTGACAGCTGAACGGTCTGTCCATACGTAATGCGTCTGATACCCCATAATCGGAACGAGACTGTGCCCGACAACCCGAGACGGTGTGTGGGGAACACAACCTTGCGTTGAGACTGTGTACATAGCCTCTGTCTTACGAGCGTTCCCGAGTTAACCCCGCTGGTCGTCATCTTTGCGACGTAGTCAGGGTGTTGCTTCGTCACATGGAGGAAGAGGTTGGAGTAGTCAGTCTTCGAGTCTTGTTTGCGGACTGTACCACACTGACAGCGGTAGGATCGTCTTGGTCATCGAGCAGCGGCGTGAAAAAGTAAGAGCAGACTTGCTTGGTACTGAAGGCGGCTTTAGAGGTCATGGCGAAAGCAGAAGTGAGAGCTAAATATTAATCGGGGGCTTTACATCATGCACCATTGGTGCAGCACCAACCATGTTGTAGGGCGTAATTACGGAGTATATGAAGGCTGTGAGTGGGCGAAACGTAAATTTCGTTTAAAAAAACAAAATAGAACAAGTATGGTTTGGACTTGATAAAAATAAATTACTGGTGATGGACCGAATTTTTTCCAGAATAACTTATTGACGGTAAAATATTGTATTGGATTTCCAATACAATTATTATTTCGGAGGGCCTGGGAGAGATGCTAGAGCAATGCGTAGACCGAGTAAGCTGATTTCTTGTCATATCAACGGGGGCCGCTCTAGATCACCGGGGGTGCTGAAGATAGCCGCCATGCTGCAGCATATCGCTGTAAGAAAAAATATTATCCTAACTACTACGTAGTATCTGTCAATTCAAATTACCTGATAACCACTACTTCTTATTTGTAATAATATAATATTGCGCTCAATCCACCAACACCCGCTAAGCAACTCCTACCTAGTCAAGCAACCACTTAGGGAGGGGTGGTCCAAATCAGCTTGTTAAGCAGAGACGATGCTTGAAGGTTAAAACCGGCGTTGGGCAAAACCAAACAGGCCGTGGCATCCATCCCCAAATCGAAGTTGGCAACCACTAGATAGACAACATTTAAACTCATGAGGTTGGCTAAAATCGGTCGAAGTTGCTCTAACGATTGCCCAATCTACGAATTTCAGAGGTTATTCCTGTGCAGCACGACAGTATTGCAGAACTATGGCGATACTTTATTTGCTGAACATCATTTTATTGGGTTTATTACTCCTTGGCTGTGCCAAGCGTATAGGCTGGGAATAAAATATTGGGGAACTTCTTGCTCACAACGGAGAACTCGTCGAACGAGATCACAC